TGGCATAGAGTAATATAGCAAACGTAAAGAGAGGACACAGGAGCCGATTCGCGGCCCAGATAGTGCGTTTCATACCCTCCGCTACGTGGCGCTTTTCTACAATTTGGTTAAAATTAATTAAAACTCTTTTTGTGAAAAGTATTTATTTTTTAAATGGCACTGCTTTAAAATTGTTTAAAGTACTTAAAACGACTAAATAGGTTAAATCAAATACGTCACAAAAACCACGTGATGGATGGCGCCTGCCATGGCCTGCCTGCCTGCACGTCGTCGCCTCTGCATCATTCTGCATGGCCTCTGCTCGTCCCTGCGTCGTTCGTCTGTGCCGTGCGTGCCGTCCATCTGTGCTTTCTGCTGCATCATGTTCGGTCGACTTTGCATCAATCAAGGTGACGCATGACCGCCCGCGTGCTCGCATGCTCGGCGTGAATTCTTGGAGCCGATCGGTTCGAGCTTCTCGCGCTGTTGTTTCTGCCGGGCTGTCTGGCTGCACTTGAAACGTGTGTGCATGTTGAGTTTCGATGAGATTGTTTAAAAAAAAAGAATTTAACTTACGACCTTGCACACGACATTGTCCATGGGTTTACAGATGACGGTGTTGAACGAACCTCTAACATTGCAGATAGAACCTTGGTTGTTATGCTGTCTGAAATTTTCAGGAGGTGCGTTTGCACACACTGTTGTGCACACTCCAACAACGTCTTACTCGCACGCAACGCCACTGACCAAGAAACTCCTCTGTTGCGCTGTAATTTCGAGGACAAACCCCAGTGTTTTTATTCAATCTCTCCTTCGAAAAACCTGATGACATAGCTGGACGGTAGCAGTACCGCCCGGTGACGATATTTGAATACGGCTCATAGATTGGACCCGAGCATGGCGTGGACACTCGATTTGGGCTCGTGATAATCGATAGCTCGAGAAACATTCGGGTAGTGTCCTGTGTCAAATCGCTGCAATGACGACAACAGCCGAACCATAACAATGTCTGGAACTCGGCGCGTGTCCTGTGCCTTGCCAACCCCAGCGCGTGACTATGATCAACATTGGCGGCATATAATCGGCTCCAGATCACGGGGCCGCTTGTTCTGGCTGCGAGTTGAGGGGGTGAACTCTGCTCGTTTTTCTTTATTTTTTTCTGCGACTTCGATTGCGTGTGGTGAAAACGAACGGGTATATTTTACGGATCATTAACGTCAGGGATTCGTTCTAAGCGGTATTTGCGCAAAATACAAATATCAGTGCATCGCCCCTTTAAGACTGTTGGCTTCACAGTAAAGGCTGTGGTCTGTGGTTAGGGGGCTTCAAACGTAAGCTTGGTGTGTGTGGTGATAAGCCATTTTTTGAAGTTGACAACGAACACGTTTACTTTGTCTATGATGTCCCGCACCTTCCCAAAACAACCAAGAGCAATCTCCAAGCCCACAAACTTTGCATCGGAAATGAGGTCATTGAGCGGTCTTCTATTGTTGAACTTCATTGGTCTATCCATGAGATTAGCTTGCAATTGACTCCGAAACTTACTGAGAGACACATTTATTCAAAAACCTTTCTGTAACATGGAAGAAAATTGTGCCCCACAGGTACTGAGTGCCTCAATCTTTCTTGTAATCATATCTCTTGTTTATGCAAAGGAACTTCCTGAGGCAGCCATGGCTACAGCCTATTTCTGTGATAGGATGTGCATACTTCTTGATTGTCTAAATAGCTAAAAAATTCAAGAAGACAGGGCAGAAGTTGCGTCATGCCATTCTGAAGGGAGAATCTCAAATACTTGATTTTCTCCACCAGTTTCTCCACCAGTAACTCGGATGGATTTCAGCATGGCAGTTCCAAAGTAGGAGGCAGCCATAAGCCATCATTGGGTGGCAAGTTAATATAAAAAGTGTCCTCATGCTCTGGGATGAGCTTTCAAGCTGCCATGACTTTAAGATCTTACTTACACGACGCCTGCAGCAAGACACACAATTGAGAACGTTTTTGGAGCTATATACGACAAATGCTGGGCTGCAACACAAACCCAAATGTGCATCAGTTCACCTCAGGACTAAAACACCTCTGGATAAAGAAACTGTCCAAACTGTCGGACAATGAAAACGTAGAAGACGACAAGGCTGACCTCCTAAAGGAGTTGCAAATATCTTCGCATCATGAAAGTTTAATTTCAGACATTGTGGAATGTCTTCCAATTGATAACTTCCCGCCACATATTTCTGAGCTGGCATCAGACATCAGGTCTAACATAATTGATGACTCGTCCACGTTTTTATTACGTTTGGGGCTATTTGATCAAGCTTTTGCTTGAACAGACAACTTACAGCTACTATCGGATGAGTCTAATAACTTGACCAGGCCTCACCAGTACTGTCTTGTTCCTAAAGCATACCACGTGCCTGGAAACTTCTTCGGGAACTTAGTAGTACCATCATAGGCTGCCTTTCATTTCATTCAGCAACTAGAAAATCACTTTCTTCCCATAATAGAGAGTGTGACACATGTTCGAGGAGTGTGCGGCGCCTTGTATAGCACACTTTGAGGTCTGGGTAGTTTTCGCCTTTGCCCAGAGGAGTACCAGAAAGGGTTTTTAAAATTGTTTTGCAGAATACGCTTGTGTTGACATGCTTGATTTCTTAACCGGAATTCGTACAAAGTTCGGTTGTACTCTTCAGTGGCTAGTAATTACGAGACAGGTTTAACTGTTAATAGCGTCTTAGCAGAGGCGGTTGCCAAACCAAAAACAAAAAGTGATTAAGTGGGCGATGCAGCTTGCTCTCCAAATATTTGTTTCCCCTTTTTCCAGCGAATGTGTATCACAGCTCCCTAACAAAAATATGTGTCCACTTTCTAAAAAAATTCGATAGAAAATAGTGTATAGAGGCGAACAATATCTGAAAGAAAATGTATCCACTTTTGCATCCACTGTCCATAGTTTTTTAGCCGCTTTTTTCTGAAGCCATATTTCTTTTCTGAACAATTTCGGGGAATATTTAGGGACGTTGAATCTTGTCAGATTTCGAATAGAGTTCTCATTGTGTGGTAATGCCTCGCCCGCAGTGAGTTTGAGGCTATGCAAACTGGTGTTTTTTTTATATTTGTTGGAAATCGGGAATTTGTACTATCCGGCGTGTGCTTCGCACTGTTATTATACTCTTATCATCATCATCATCATCATCATCATTTATTTTCCTTGAGGGCCCGTGGGGCATTATACAAGGGGGTGGCAATAGAACAAAAACAAATAGAACAGTAAACACAATTATAACACTGTAAGCTAGCTAGGTAGGTTAGGTAAAAAGAGGGTAATGGCTTCAACAAATTTAGTAGTATCATTAATACAAACGATGTTATGAGGTAGTGAATTCCAATCCTCGATGGCCAATGGTAGTGTGGAAGTCTGGTGAGAAACAGTTGATGATCGAATTGGACGTAATTTACATAGGTGATCTAGACGCGGGAAAATACGATGGGGAGGTGATAGCAGTGATTCTTTAAGGTGGCTATTGTGATAGAAAATTCGATGGAGGAGAGAAAGGCGTGATACTCGGCGGCGAAGGGAAAGTGAATGAAGGTTAGCTGATTGGCGTAATCCTGATATGCTGGTATATGGTGAGTAGTTGTTATAAATAAAACGAAGGGCTCTGTTTTGGACGGATTCTAGATTATTTGCAAGGTAGGACTGCCATGGGGACCATATAGATGAGGCGTATTCTAATTTCGATCTTATAAGAGTAGTATACGCTAGTCGTTTTACGGAGGGTGTAGCAAGTTTAAGGTTACGGCGCAAGTATCCGAGAGAACGGTTAGTATCAGAAATAACAGAAGTTATGTGAGTAGTCCATGATAGGTCAGAGGACCTGACTGGTAATGATAGCGATGTCTTATTTATTTTTGCACTTACTTCCCGTACCCGAGTCGGCGTGAAAGTGAATGTATCATACAGCATGTTCTCCGTGGAAAGGTTTTGTTAACTTGGTTCCGCTAAGAATCTATTACGAAGTGTACGATATGCCGAAGTCCTTCATATTCATTTATTTTTGTGAGTATCGATCTCTTTCGTATAAAACACACAGAGCTTCTGAAGTAAATCATGTATACATGAATGTGGTCCAATAAAATGTGTTCGAACCACTTACTGTTGTTAACCCCAAAGTGCTCCACCAGCCAGGAGTCAATGCGGCGATTGTGTAACTTCAATGCTTTACAATATAAAAAGAACAAGAAATATATATACTTCTGCTTTGTGAAGTAAGTTGAAATATTGTTTGACACATTTTGCACGGACCCTATCGTAAAAATAAAGCAAAAGTGTGTCAGTATTAAAAAAAAAATAGCGGCTTCGGGAGTCAAGGCGCTCCCGAGAGATGAGCGAGGCGGGGAGGAAAGAGAGAGAGAAGGGTATTGGAAAACCGGAGCAAAAACGCCCAAACCGCAACCGAAACTAACTTGACCGGAAACGGAATCAGATTATACTTAATACCGCCCGCTAGGAGCGCTACCTGTCACTGGTCTATCTGGGCCGCTGGGGCCTATGGCAGTGTCCGCTCTTTACCTTGTGTATATTACTCTATGGGCCTGGCCGCAGAGCCCGCACGGACAAACTCCGGAGAGGCTGCACGGCCGAGCGCAGCGCGGCGCGGCCACTTTACGAGAGCGCGCGCTCGGCCGCTGACGCTACCTCAGCAGTAGCGAAACATGGCCGTCCAAGCCAGTACGCCACAGAAGAACTAAGGGTGTGGAAGAGCGACATTCATGCTTCGCATTCACAACTCAAACGAAGTGCTTAGGTGTCCTCGGAATTGTTTTTCACCGTGTGATACCGATCGCAAACGCCCTTTATTAAAGGTACCTTAGCTAAGGGACCTTATAGCTAAATGTACCTTTACGCTGATTAGATTCGTGCTCCGTATAGCGCAACCCCGAATGGACATTTGCTAGAAATATCCCTAAGGACTGGGGAAATGAACACGAACGTGAATAGCACGTTTTGTGAAGGCGCTTACCAAGGCTCTCCCTTCACTGTCGAAGGGATGCAAAAGGGTGGTATCAACCTGGTCGCAGCCCGTCTTCTGCTGGATCGCTTCCAGTCGGGCCTCTCCGTCCTCCTTGCACGTGGGCTACAAGCGAAGAGCAGAGATCACCATCGCCCGCTGCCCATCAGAGCCTACAGACCAGACTTGTACGTAGTTCAACTACTCCACTCAAGTTACTGTAGTGTAACTACTTTTCTGAGTAGTTTAGTAACTTCTAATTACATTCTTATTTCGGTAATTCGTACAATCTAAAAAAAATGTCTGTGCGTCTCCTTTCCCGCACAACACTCGAAGAGCCAATCAGCGTAACTTACGGAAGCAGCTCAGCGAATGACGATGCCGAGGCACATGTTTAGACCAAAAAACGCAGCCTGAGTTGTGACATTAAGCAATGCAAGCGTGACGTTTTGCATTGCTTAATGTCACAACTCAGACTGCGTTTTTTGGTCTAAACAGATATTTCGGCATCTCATTCGCTCAGCTGCCTCCGTAAGTTGCGCTGATTGGCTCTCCGAGTGCTGTGCGGGAAAGTAGACCACAGACTTTTTTTAGACTGTATACAGTTTAATTACTTTTTCGGGGCAGCTTCTACTCAAATTACAAGTTACTCTTGAATTTTAGTGGTTGCTTTGCCTTTCAACCAATATTCCTGCACAGAAGAGATAAGATGTTGGAAGATCAGCTGATATTTGCAAAGAGGGAGAAGCATCTGGTGTAGGAAGGGTGAGGGGGAAGAAAATGGTGTGGCAAGTCCGAAACCTCCGAAACATTTTTACGAGCCCCCTTCCCCCCCCCCCCCCCCCCCCTCCCCTGCAACAACACACTTACGAGAAGCGGGGAGCGAACAGACACGGCGCAAGAGGGGTCGAGCAACTACGGGATTAGCGCCGAAGACTGCCATTTCTTTGAGTCCCGATGTTCAAGGAGAATTGACCCATTTGAAGAAAGGGCTGGTCTCCGCTTATCCTCAGTGTTGAAACTCCCGCCCACTTCAGGAGGTGCACACACTGCATCCTCACTCAAAGGAGGCAACAAAATGCAGCACCTGCTCTGAAGCTCATCTGGTGCTCCCGTAGTGTGTGCTGTAGTCGAAGAATCGCGTGCTAAAGGGCAACGCAAAGGGGAGCTTTTTACGTTGCCTTTGACTAACAAGTCGAAGTTCGTCAAACTTCGAGCTCAGCAGGTTCGAAAGGTCGAAAGTCGTCAAATTTCTTGGCATAGTACGTTCGAAAATGTCGAGTTTCATAGCGTGAAAAATTAGAAGTTCGGAAACAATTGAATTTCTCAACGCCCCAAATTCGGTAGTTCGAAAATCGTCGATTTTTAATGTTTTAGGCGCGACGTTTCAAAAATTTGCGAATTGTTCGAACCCCTTGGTTCGACCTTCGAACCTCAGGTTTGCAAAAGTTCGCGGCATCTCTAATCGACTCGGGTGCCTGAAAGGGAGGGACGCAAGACCATAATGACTTTCAAACTTCGCTCCCCACCCTGCACGTGTCATCGTCCAGACTGCGTCGTCGCAATCTCCGGTTCGGCAAACCGGGAACTGCCGTCAGGTCACGTGGGTTGCGTTGTACTCATTCGACACGAGGTGTCGCCTACGGTGGATGCGAATCTATGTAAACGCCGTGGTAAAAGTGGATTTCATACGCTAACTCAATTCGATACACTATACTGTCGCATCCATGTGAAGACAGCCCGAGAAAGGGACGGAATGTTACACGGTGAATGAATAATAAGAAAGATGAAATGTAAGGTCTAGCTGAAATTGTTATGAAAATTTAGATTGAAATAACAGAGAACATGCAGGCGAGCTGGTAAAATTTCATTCTCTTGAAAATCCCAAGCTTGGGAACAAAGATACGCTCAATGAACACACCACCATGTGTGTGTTGCCCTCGGGTTTTTTTTAATGCGAAAGCATTAACTGTCTCGTGGAGCGAGCTGACGTCATCAGTTTGAAGAGCGAAAACGACAGTTTCCGCGATCCCGCGACTCCAATAGGAGCGATTCGCCTTCGGTTCCATTGGCTGCTGCGCGTCGACGGGGCTCTCATTGGCCGCTGCGCCATGGCCTCCGAGATCCCGATACGCGCGCGCCCTACGCAGCAGACGACAACGGGAGCAGACGAGCGGCTTGCATGCTTTCGCATTCACAACTCATAAGAAATGCTTAGGTGTACCACGAGCTTCTTTTTGAGCGCAGCTCTTAGGGGTCCGTTTCCGGCTTGAGCGGCGTCGCCGTTGCCGTCGGCGTAACCGCGAGGTCACGTACCCCCCCAAGGTCACGTGACCCCCCCACGATGTCACCTGACTCCCCAGGTCACGTGACTCCGTGAGGTTACGTGACCGCCTGAGGTCACGTGACCCCCTGAGGTCAGGTGACCCCTTGAGGTCAGGTGACCCCCTGAGGTCACGTGACCCCCCTAAGGTCACGTGACCCCCCACCCCCTGAGGTCACGTGACCGCCTGAGGTCACGTGATTCCCCTGACGTCACACGACCTCAAGAAGTCACCTATCCCTCAGTACGCTTCCATCCTCCTCCTCAAGAGCTGCGCTCTAACCAGCGTTACAGGGAATTGGAAACGGTTTTCATTTTTTTAGAGCGCAGCTGTTAGGCGCCCATTTCCGGCTTGAGCGGCGTCGCCGTCGGCGTCGTCGTCGGCGTAACCGCGCGGTGCATTCTGGGTAAATTTCCCAGCTAAATCTAGCGGAAAAATTTCCCCGCTAAATCTAGCGGAAAAATTTCGCCACTAAAACTAGTGGAAAAATTTCCCCGCTAAACCTAGCGGGAAAGTTTTCCCGCTAAATCTAGCGGAAAAATCTCCCCGCTAAATCTAGCGGAAAAATGTCCCCACTAAATCTAGCGGAAGAATTTCGCCGCTAAATCTAACGGAAAAATTTCCCGCTAAATCTAGCGGAAAATTTACCCGCTAAATCTAGCGGAAAAATTTCTCTGGGAGTCACGTGACCTGGAGGGTCACGTTACTCCCACCCCTGAGGTCACGTGACCTCGGGGGGGGGGGTGGGGGGGGTCAGGTGAACTTTCCCCCAGGTCCCGTGACTCCCCCCCCCCCCCCCCCCCCTCCGAGAACACGTGACCCTCTACTTCGGTGTTACAGCGAGTTGTAAACGGCTTTCATTTTTTGTTTTGTTTTTACGTGGAATTGCGTTTTTTTGTTTTTGTTTTTTTTTGCGCTTGGAAGTGCGTGCAAAGCTGGGAGGTCACGAAAACTTGGTCATGGAAGTAACACCACACAGATAACAGCATCGAGAACCGCGCAACACGCACGCGCGTCCTTTCTTATCTGCTGGCTTGCTCGTTTGCTCGCTTCAACGCGACGCGCTCATTTCTGAGTGAAACGGCGATAGACGCCGCTCCGGCAGCCGTGATTCCACAATCTTCGCTCGTCGCTCTAAACAGCGGCCGAGCTTCTGTGCTCTGCGGCACGGGCAGTTAACGCAACCCACTCACGCGACTCGGCGAAGCGTTAATTCCCTATAATTTCTTTTGCTATAGCTAAAGTCACTAGATCCCGGGAAAGTAGCGTCAAGCTACCCGTAAAACCAGCATTTTGGCTTACGAAATCAGCCATTTCTCCTTGACCAATTTGTTCTCGGTGAGCCAATCTAAATTCACTGGTGACGGGTAGCTTTATAGAGACGTTTCTTGTGTACCGATATTTCGCTATCTACACACCAACGACGAAACAAGCGTACACCCGTGTGCGATATGAAGGTGCCTGTTACAGGCCACCCGATGCGTCAATTTTGTGCCTTCTTTGCATGACGAGCTGTCCGCTTTAAGCGTGCAACTTTCTGACCATCCTGTTATTTTATTGGGCGATTTCAATTTCCCCGATATTAAATGGAATTCGCCTCGTCAAGATTGTGTTCATGGTACCAGTGACTGTCGTGAGTTTGTTAAACTTTGTTTAGATTTCAATCTGTCCCAGATGGTTTGTTTTCCAACGCGTGTAAATGATATGTGCTCAAATATATTAGACTTGGTATTAACGAATCAATCTGAGTGCATCTCGTCGCTGTCTGGATCCGAAGGCATAAGTGATCACAAGGCAGTACACTGTGACCTAGCATTTGAAGCACCTGAACGTATATTGTTAAAACGATAAGGCTATATAACAAAAGAAATTATGAGCAGTTTAACATGGCCCTCTCAAATTACTTCTCAGACTTCTTAGATAAATTTGATCGTAGGGATGTGAACGAAAACTGGTGTAAATTTAGAAACAAATTATTAGAACTTGTTGAAATACATGTCCCAAGCACCACCATAAGTTCCCGAACTTCTAACCTACTCGCGCTCGCTGAAAATACTCAACAATAAGAAGAAACACCGTTTTCGGACAGCCAAAAATAAAAACACTACTGAATCTTAAGACAGGTATAATAAATGCGCAAATGAGTACAAACGCATGCTTGCGGAACAGAAACGTATTTTCGACCAGGAAACCCACCCATCCCTGCTACTGAATAACCCTCGCCAATTCTGGCAAGTTGTTAACCATACTCCACGCTCGCCATTTAACCTGGAAGATGAATTTATAAACAAAATAGAGGCGAGTCAGTGGGCCTCAGTTTTAAATGACGTGTTTTCTGCTCAGTTCACCATTCCAAGTCCTTTAGCGTTGTTACCAACCATTGCTAACAACCTCCCTTGTATGGATCCAATATATGTTGATTTTGACGGTATTGTTAAAATTATTAAATCTATGAAAGTGTCTTCATCCTGTGGCGTCGACAACATTAACTCTAAAATACTGCAGCGCACAGTGTGCTCTTCGAGTATTTTTTTAGCCAAAAATGTTCAGCAGTCCTTGAATACAGCGACAGTTCCTGACGATTGGAGGATCGGAAAGGTCATTCCGGTCCACAAGAGCGGTAATAAATCATCTCCCTTAAACTATAGGCATATCTCTCTTCCGTACCTTCAAAAATACTGGAGCGCATAATCCATAAGAATCTATCCATTCACCTCGATTCCATTTCCTTTTTTAACAAGGCACAGCACGGCTTCCGCAGAAACTTTTCTTGTGAAACACAGCTTCTTTGCTTAACCCATGACCTTTTTCCTCGACTCCGGTTTTCCAACCGATGCTGTATTTCTTGACTTTGCTAAAGCTTTTGGCGAAGTACCGCATAACAAACTGCTACTAAAACTTTCATCGTTAAACCTTGACACCAGCGTGCTCTCATGGATTATATCTTTCCTCTCGCAACGAAACCAGTTTGTTCATGCTAACGACTCCTCATCTGCCTTGGCCTCTGCTACATCCGGTGTGCCCCAAGGAACAATCCTTGGTCCACTACTCTTCCTTATTTACATAAACAACCTTCCACTTCAGGTATCTTCATCAATGTGTTTATTTGCAGATGACTGTGTCGCTTATCGTAAAATAACATCTCCGTTTGATTCCGCAGCGCTACAAATTGACCTTGACTCTATTAATAAATGGTGTAGTAATTCGCAAAGGTCCCTCAACCTTAACAAATGTAAACACATGCGCTTCTCTCGTTTCACCTTCCAAGCTTCCTCTCCTCTTACTCTTAATGCTGTTCCTCTACAACAAACTGACACATACAAGTATATCAGTGTTCTAACTAAAAACCTCTCTTGGGACAGTCATATTAATTCAGTGGTGTCTGCTGCTAACCGAAGCCTAGGTTACCTCCGTCACAACTTCAGATCTGTCCCAAGTAACCTAAAGCGACTCCTTTACATTTCCTTAGTACGATCGCAATTACAGTATGCATCCTCCATTTGGCACACTCACCTTTCTTCACTAACAGACAGTATTGAAGCTGTCCAAAACCGTTCTGCCCGGTTCATTCTACCTGACTTCTCACGTTTTCCTAGTGTTACTGGAATAAAATCTGACCTTTCTTTTGCCTAACTTGCTACCCGACGGACAATTTTTCGTCTGTGTCTATTGCATCCGGTCTATTATTCGCCCCTACTACATCAGACTCTTCTCACTCCGCCAACCTATTCGTCTTCTAGTCTACATCACCCTAAAAAAATAGCTCGGCGATGTCACCGGCAATGACCTTCCCGGTGACATCGCAGCCATCGAGGACTCCGCCGCATTTCGCGAAGTGCTTCAGCAATATTGTAATCTCCACTCCCCTCTCTAACGCCTCACGGCCTTGAGGGTATTGTAAATAAATAAATAAATAAATAAATAAATAAATAAATAAATAAATAAATAAATAAACGGCCTTGATTCCTTCCCTCTTCGCGTCTTCGCGGAGTCAAAGCGAAAAGTGGAGGAAACGAGAATCGCGACGTCACGGGCCTTTTTGGTTTTGTTGAAGAGCGCTCTTCTTTCACAAATATATGACAATCCGTTGGAGATACAGCTTTATGAGTGATGCTTTCGGGTTTGTAGCATCCCGCCTAGCACTTCTGCTTTGTTTTCTGAAATCAAAATTTGATTTCAGAATCCCCTGGTTTTCCCAAGCGCCTTCATAATTTGTCAAGCCTTACACGAAAAGCATGTTTCTAAACAAACGTTTAAAATAGTTTCTTTTTACAACAATATGGGTCTGGCCTTTAAACTCTAAAGTATCAATGTGCCGAAGTCTATATTGGCGAAGAACACCTTCAGTACGATGATGCTTCATGACGATCTTGGTGCGACTGGTTTGTCTCGACGCTCTCGAAGCTTCGAAGGTATGAAGGGGCCTAAATGCGATTGTCATAGAACGGTCACCGATCAGCAAGTCACATTGCGAGTTTTTGGTCGTCTGTATCTGTCTGAATCCGGCTAGCAGGCAGGGAAGGCAATGGGGCTACTTTCCCAGGTTTAGTGACTTCAGTGCCACCCACACCTAGTTTTGCGGAAACCCATGTATAGTACACCTATGCATGGACCAACCGTTTTCGAAGTTATGAGTTTCTTGTTTAATGATCAAAAGTAACTATGCCCACAGCTGAGATTTGAAACGTTTAAAATTGAAGATGCAGAACATCTGATGCCTCAAGTTTTCGATCCCTCGTTAGCAGTATTAGTGGATACCTTTGTGCCTATCGCGCATGCGCGCCGTGTTGGGAGGGAAACTCACCCGATAGAACGTAACTCCCACGAGACTGCGCAGTTCCTTAACGCCCAGCGTTTTCTTCGGCTCGTCCAGGTACCAGGCCAACATGATTGAACTTATGCTCCTGCGAAGAAAAACACGCCCGATTGCTCGCTTTGATGCTTCCTGAATGCTGGGTTGAGCGTACGGGTATCGCACACCTGTCGATAAAAATACAAGAAAACAATAACAGGAAATTAAAAAAAAAAGTAGTGTAGGTGACACTCAGACCATTTATTTTCAGACTCTGGTGGCCGTGCTATATATATACGGAAATGGGAAAAAACATTGCTTTTCCATTTCCGTTCTATAGAGACTAATGCGCTTGTTTTTCAGCCAGCTGGGGCTTTATATAATATGATATATATTATATCAAACCACAGCTGGCTGAAAAACAAGCGCATTTGTCCCTATTGAACGGAAATGGAAACACATATTTGTTACATGGGTAGGTTCTTTTCAACGGTGATACTTTTTAGAGTATTTTCCGAAGATAACGGGGAAGCAATTATTTTGCGCTTAAATACAAAAACCTATCTTCGCTTCCATAAACTTTAATTAACTGGCAACAGAACGAATAAAGCAAAATCAAAACAAAAGACGTCGAAAAGTTTTTTTTTTTTTTTTTTTTAAAGTGAAAGAAATGTTTGTCGTTTTTTGTACCGACTTCGTTTTATTCTTTCTGTGCTCAGTTCGTAGACCCTTTTACTGTTTACAAACATGAACCGCGTCTTGCGTTTCAAGCGACTTCCGGTCGCTCCGTCTTTGGAAACTTGTCGAGCTTGCTTCTGCCACCAGTGCTGGCATCAATGCTACAGGGACAACAAAGTTGGAGACTTAGCGATGGCCTTCTGATGTACGATTTAATGTCTTGGAGAAGACAAGTTGGCTTACGAGAATATTCAAAACATCTGAACATATCTCTCGTGCATCTATAGGTTCTTTTGGCGTTCGCTCGGGGAATTGATGGTTAAAGGGGTCATAAAACGATATCGGGTTGGAATGTTTAGGACTTTGCCCTGAGGCGTACTGGGTAACTCGCCAAACACAAAGTTGGGGTCGACGTTCTCAGAGCGTGCTGATTGGACTCTCGCGACGATGGCGTCCCGCGGGACGAGATGCCAATCATCCCAAATTCTCTGTGCTCGAATTCCCGAGAGAGTGTGAATCACAAAGTCGTAGCGAGCTTCATCGAAGCGCGCGCTAGCAGCACCGTGGGGCCAGGCGACTGAGCGGCTGTACTGATGACGTCGTGCTTGCGTGTCCCTCATCAGAACGCCGCGTTAAAGTCAGTGCTGTCGAAATTGTCCTTAGGCGGGTTTTGAATGCTCTAAACTTTCTCATCGCGAAATCGTCGCTTGAGGAAGTTATTGGTGACGACAGAGGGACGTTTCACAACTTTGGGACGGAGTTATTTGAGACCCAGATATTCACTTCGGAATTGAGGCGAAGATTAAACTTTGTGATATTGTGGAGCCGTGCGCGGTGTACGCGGCACTAGAGCTCATCTCCCACCACTGTTAACAACGCTGTCGGAATGACCCAGAGGCGGTGTGTGTAGAGACGTCGGTAGTGCGAGAGATAAGGGGGCGACTCGGAATGGCGAGAAAAAACAGGGGGAAGGGAAATAAAAAAGGTTACGATCAAAACACCACCACACACACACACACACACAAAATAGGGGTCAGAAAGTGCCGTACAATATGTTCGGTACAGGGGAAGGGGAGGGGTGGGGGGGGGGGGGGGGGGAGGGGGAGCATAGAAGGCTCTCAGGGGAGGGAGTGGATGAAGGGGAAGAAAGGGTATTTTCCTTCCACCAAGTTTTTTTTATTATAATTTGCTGAAATGTCTGGGCAGTATATAGGACGCTATGGTCTGAAAATGGGGTTGTCGCCTCCTCCCCCCCCCCCCCCCCCCCCTTACTCCTTTATGACGAGGAACAGCAAAGCGTGCAATTTTCGAAATAATTGTTCTAGAGGTTCTGGAATTAAAAAGGGTCGCGTTCCATGAACTCATAAGCGGCCATGACCGACTTTCAAGCGAAAAACTTGTTTACGGCTCGTAGTGTGCAGGCGCGTTCAATGACGTCCCTTTATAGTTTTTACCCTTGAAGCCAGGGTCAGGGTCGTTGTGAACGACACACTCGATGATGCGCGTTCGAATCAACGGTGACAAGTTTGGTTGTGTACGATGGATGCTTAGAGTTATCGCGTTCTGAAAACATCACCGTGAATATTACCAACCTGACATTACTCTTATTTCCGTTGATGAAGTCAGAATTAATCCTAGTTTGGCTAATGTTGGAAAGCCGACCACACAAACAGTTTCAGCTGCCTACGTGGCTAATAGTCACTACTTAAAAAAACATCAGTAAAACTATTTTTCGCCACCGATAGGAGAACAATTGCCCGGAGGCGAAATCTTCCCGAAGGCGGAGAACGCATTCGGCTGCGTACACTTTGATCATATACAATAGACCGATCTTACCAGCTAGTTTGAGTACGCCACCACTGCCGATATGCATCGTGGGAGCTGTAGTCTTTCTGCACGCGCGACAACCCTGCTGGAGGTTTGCGCGAGCAGACCACGAGTGAGCATGAGTTGTCGTGTGAACTGGCGTCTGCCTCCTACGCACCACAGTTATGGCGGCGTCACGCATGCGTAGAATGCTTGGTGAAATCGGTCTATTGTCCGAGAGAAAGGAAAGGAACGGGAGGGACGTATTTTTTTTTTAGTAAATGCTGCTTTATCGGCGGATATAAGAACGACATTAGATTGTCAACATCGACGGTGTCGATTTTAGAATGTAATTATCCCAAGTCACCGCCGTGCTTTTTAGAGACTATCAAACATGTTGGTCGCAGCTCATAATCTTTGTCGTGACGTCACACGTATGAGCCATGGTCTTTTTCGCGCGCTATCCGGATGGATGGATGGATGAATCCGGTTGAGCCCTTTGGATCGGGCGGTAGCTTATGCCACCTAGCCATTTTGTTTCACCATTTAAGCTTAGAATATTTAAATGTGAAATCTATATTCACTCCGCACTGCAAAGGAAGTGGGGCTATGAAACCCCCTTGCCATCAGTTAATAAGAAAATACTTAGTTTTTTCTCGCTTTCTGCCGCCATTCACTTAATCTTTGCTTGGTAATCTCTACAGTCTTGAAATCCACTCTCCCTTCGCTCTTTCTAAAACCCAATGACTTTATTAAGTCTATGTTGTCTTCGGTAGGCATAGGGTGAATCCCTTTACAGTAGGGTATCAAGTGCTCAGCCGTCTCGTCCTCCTCTCCACAAGCAGTGCACACTGTATCCCTTTCCTGGTACCTCGCTCTGTATGTTCTGGTTCGCAGAACACCCGTCCTCGCCTCAAACAACAATGAGCTTCCCCTAGAATTGTCATAAATGCTTTCTTTGGCAATAACTGTTTTGTTTAATAGATAGCTTTCCAGAGCCGTCTTTGTCTGCATTCCGTCTAGCCACCGATCTCTTCCTGTGGCCTTAACTTTCTTCTTAACTGAGACCTGCTCTTCCGTATCTCCACTATAGCCTAAAAACTTTCCTCTTAATTTCCTAGTGCGCTGTCTCCACTTTGTGTCTATGATCTACAAAATCATGTATAGGTAGCTGAAAACCTTTGGTGTCCATTGGTCCCCATCAGTGGCGTACGCAGGATTTCACTTCGCGGGGGGCCGGACCAACGAGAGTAAAGGGTAAAGTAAAGATATAAAAGAAAAGAAAGTCCAAAAGAAAATAAAAGCATGTTACTTTTTTTTTTCTAATAACTATGGATTCTTCTATTTAGTAATTGAAATAAAGTTGACATATTGGTTTTGGGATGATTATGATACATAAAAATGATGCCCCGGAAATTTCCCACCAGGAAGGCATTTGCCATTTACTTTTTATATTTACAAGTCACGTCAAAAGAAGGCACCAGAGTAAGCAGAAAACAAGAATCATAAAAGCAAATATTTTATGAAGCAGGACTCCAATGCACAAAGCCTCCAGTCATCGGGGCTGATAAAACAATGATGCATAAGTAGAAACGCGGAACATCTTGATGGATAGACGATAAGCACTGGAAAGCTGCTCCACCATAAAGCACTCCCTATCTTAACCTTATCTAGCCAACAAAAATCTCACGCGATTTGTTCGTTGGTGTCGATTTCTAAGGTTTCCGAAGTCCGCTCACAAAAGAAAGTCAAGGAAGTCACACAACGCAACAAAGGGACGATCTAAAATGGTTTACACACTCACATATTGCACTTGGCTCTCGTCCTGAGGCAGCAGGTCGCACACTCGCGCCCCTATCTCGCGCGGTTCTCAAACTACCGATGACAACTTCCGTACTCGAACCTTGAACCGCAAATCCCGCGCCTTTAGGCGCGTATATTCACTTTTCTAAGACCTTTCCCGCCATCCGAGGAGCCAATCAGATATAGCTCTTTTTAGACCAATGGGAGCCACGCGGTACCAAATAAACACATACAATACAAAATCCAATTAAGAAAGGACACGTGCATAGATCACCGAAAAGTCCTAAAAACCTTCGCCCTAACTGTCGACCGTCAGCCGGACACCGCTTCAAGGAAAAACTTCTCGTCACGGTGCGAGAGCAGTACCGACGCTTCTTCTCAAAATAAAAAAAGGCGACAAAACATCGAGGGGCCCCGCTGTGCTCGAGCGAGGCACAGCGCATGGTACGCACCCAGAGCGGGGCCCTCGAGGAACAATAAAGACAGGGGACACGGGGGCCGCTTCGTGGCGACGACAAACCAGCCCTGGTGGCTCCGCGAGAGGGACTTGGGGCACTCGCGAACCAATAAAAGTAGAAGTAAAGAAAGATATTCGTTAATTGATTATTTTCCAGTCATATTAGATCAAAGACGTTAAAACTACATATTTTTTATTATTTTTACTATGTCATAACTGGCATATTGCATTCCCTCCCTTTTTTATTTCTTTTTTTTTTTACAACTTCTCCACAAAGTTTGATATTGATAAACCCGAGAGTCAGTAACCTCGCCGACTCCCCCCCCCACCCCCTCGGAAATTTCGGGGGGGGGGGGGGGGGGGCGGCC